ATTACGGAGGCGTCTTAATGTGCACTTCTGCCAGTAAGTAGAACAGTTGGGAGAAAAAAAACCAAAAACATTTTGAAGTCTTGTATGTTTTAAGCATACATATAGCAGTGAAGCTTAAGTATGAGCCAAGAGTGGAGGGAAAGCTGAGAACAAAACTGAATGCAACTTTTCACCTCTTGTGTGGATTGTTAGAGATGTCCTTTGCGATCTGCAGCCCAAGAGTAGAACTCTCTCTCTTAACTACGTGGAAATACTAAAAGTAAGCAAAATACTTATGATTTTCCATTTTCTTTCCTATTTAGGAAGCAGATAATTGCTTTGGTTGCTCACACCTGAGTGGAGCTTGTGCACCCCAAGACTGAAGTGAGGCGCTCAGAAAAGGACTTGACGAGTAAGGAGAGGTGGAGGGAGACAGAGTGGGAGGGTCTCTAGGGGGTGGTCCCATTGGGTTTTGTGAAACCACAGGATATTGGTAACAACATCCTCTTTTCAGGGTAGATGCATGCACACAGAACATTCCAGAGAAACCTGCATTTTTAAAAATTATCTTTGGGATTTGATTATTGTGTCATCATCACACTCTTTTAGCGTCAAGTAATGGAGAGGTGATCAGGAACCCGCAGTGAAAATGCCACCATTGTGGAGGACACTGTGTCCTGTGAAATGGCCTCCCTGTTTGGCTCCACATCAAGGATGGAGTGTCCAAGTGTGAAAAGGGAAATCATTTCTGAGTATATTTCCTTCATTGCTTTGACTTACTGCCCATCACGTACTGGCCCTCTGGCATTTATACTAAGAAACAAAAAGCATAAATTCAGTTGGATTCCGTTCACCAAAGGAAATCATAATATAAACCTAAACTGCTAGCTGTACTCTTTCTTTCCTGTTGTGCAACCGATATAAAGTATCGCATTTCCCTAGATTAAAAGAAAAACAACAACAGCATATATAGTGAATTGAAATGTTTCCTCAGTTTTATAACTGCTACAGAAATAGCCGGGGGACCAGCTACCATCAGGTTGCCACTATTTTTATCTGTGAACTGACTGTATCCTCAAAATACCATAACGAGATAATTGAGACATAGCAGAGTTGTCTTTCTGTGATTTTGGATTCTAGGCATTTTGATGTGAGGATACAATTCAGGCTGATTTGACTGTTTTAGTAAGAGGCTGATCTGCATGATGTCTTAACGCTTAAGTGAAAAAGTAGCTCTCGAATATTTTGCACGAGTGTTTTCAAAGCAAGATGAAGATTTCTTTCCTGACATGGCGCAGTGACCACAGCCACGGCCAGACGAAAGGGATCTCCCTTGAGTCATGTGCAGTCTGCACTTTCACTTCCTCCATTTGGCCCAGTTCAGTCCAGACATTTCAACAGCTTGACTAACCCTCATCATCCTTTAGCTGCCAAAGTCCGTGGCTGCCAATATCACTGGTAGCTTTTGAAGTACACGTGTTGCCAGCACTATGCTTGAGTCAGGAAGGCGAGACCTTTCTGGTCTTACCCTCAGTGGCTAGGATCTTTTTCAAAGGAGAATTATTTTTAATACTACTTCATCATCCTGCATCAGGAAAAATGTTTTCTGGCAAGCTTCCCTCCTTCCAGAGAAATTGCATTCACACTGAACCTGGTATGTAACATCTGGTCTGGGTTAGCCTGCGGACAAAAAAATAGTTTTGATAATCAGTGCTACCTCTAATTTTTATTTTTAATTGGGTGGGGCCGGCAAAGTGATATGAATAACAAAGCAGGATGACTTGGTGTACACGGATAGGTTTTCAGCTTAACAACTGACTACCATTTACAGCAAAGCTAATCTGATAGTGAACGGTATGCATCACATGATAATTAGGTATGAACAGTAAGCAGCTCATATAAAGGACTGTAATTACCGTGTGTCACGGAGCCAAGCAAGCATTTTGGAGCAAGCTTGGTCGGGAGATGAACAGAAAAGAGTTCAAGCTGGACTCTGTGCTGATGCTCCCTGGGACCAGAGGAGCCTGTTTTCCCATTAGCATTTGCTCCAGGCCAGAGGCCAGTGGCTGGCACAGGACTCCCAATTTACCATACAGGTAACAAAAAGTCACAGAGAGAAAGTACAGTGGATTCCGTTCTGACAGTCTTCACAACCTCTCAAACATGATAGTACTCTTTAGTTGTAACTTTGTAGTTTTTCTAGGGGAAGAAATAGGACACATACAAGTGATTTCAACAGGTTGGGCACCAGGTAGCCACTGATAGGATACGTCCTAGACAGTCTGCGGCCACTAGGGCTTCATGAGTTTGTTTTGATCCATTTGCCTATCAGTCAGTGTTATAGGGATATAAGTTTTCCTTATACCAGTGAAATATCTGATCCTCAGATGAATCTGAAGTTTATTCCAACTGGGCTGTTTTATTGATCATCTATCTACCTACATTTTCTAAAAGGTAGTGCAATAGGACACCATGCCTTGTGTATTAGGCTGAAATGGCGTCACCCTGGGACTACCTGGTTATTTTTCCTGCAAGGTGTGCCTGTGTCTGACTCAATGACACTGTTCTTATTTGACTGACTGCTTTTGATTTGCTGTGACCTGACAGAATGATCTGGCTTAAATGCCAACGTCACTGGCTTCACCCTCGCCTTTCTTATCCCACATTCAGTCCACTGGCAAATCTTGTTGGCTGTATCATCTTAGAAATGTATCTGGAACCTGACCTTGCTTATCACCTCCACTGTCATCAGTATCTTTACCTGACCATTTGAATACAACCCCTGACTGTGGTAGGGTCTCCACAGTGCAGCTGTGCCTCCCAGCCTAAGTCCGATTTGGTCACGACTCCAATGGCTTTCCATTTCATTCAGAATAAATGCTAAGTTTCAAGGGTCTATATTTGCCCGGCTCCCCATCCCCTCTGCCCATGTGATCTTCTAGTGCTTACCTATTGTTCTCTGGATTTTAGCTACACTGACCTCTGACCTCTTGGCCATTCCTCAAAGAAGCCAAGCTCACTTTTGGGGTGGGGGGAGGTGTCTTTGAATTTCCCTGCTTCATTTTTGTATGAATGGACCATCTGACATAGTGTGCATTTCTAGGCTTATTATTATTATTGCTTTTTCTACTGCAGTGTAAGCGGAGGAGAGCAGCGATTTTGTGTCTTGCTAACATGCCTTGCTGGTACATTGATGAAAACTTCTTGCGCCACTGGGATCAACATTCCTGAGATCTTGAATTATTTTCTTTCTAAAAATAAACTTTCCGAATCTTACTTCCGTAGTAGTTGTAACATTTTAAGTACTTGATCTATAATCTGCTCATTCTTGGCCGGAATCCCTTTGGTGGGGAAGTCAAACTAGTAAAAGACGTAGGAGTAATAACTATTTAATGAGTACTTCTTACATGCCAGGCTCTTGTGCCGAAGCACTTTGCTTTATCTCCTCCAATTCTAACCGCAGGCCTAAAGATAGGTATTTATTAGCGCTGTGTTCTCCTTTTATAGGCAAAGGGACTGATACTTGGTAGAGGTGAAATAGCGTGCCGCCAGGTCGCAGAGTTACTAACCACGGAGCCGAGGTTAGAATCAAGGTGCGGTTGACTCCACACTGCCTCCTAGCTGTCTCCTGCAGTAATGCGTGTCCAGTTGAGGTAGGGAAGCAGCTAGAATTAAAGCAATGCCCTTTGCAGCTCTTGTGCTAGGGTTCCGGGGTACGTATGTATGTGTGTATATATTATAATATATATAACCTCCCCCCTCTAAGATTCCAGGTACCGAAACAGAGGTTGTTCACCTTTCGGAAATGTCCTAAGGGCTACTGTCGGCTAGGCTGGGACTCTTACTTTAAATGCAAGGTTCGCTCAGCGCTGAGGTGGTTTAAAGCACCTAGTAGGAGAAGATGTGACCTAAAGAAGAAAGGAGACGTCACCAAGTCGGCGTACTGCTAGCAAGGTGGGGTATTTAAATATGACTGAACAAAATGCAAGTTCTCCAAAGGCGGTCGACCCCCGTAGTGGGCCCGAAGGAGGGGAATAGGGCTGGGGGGGGGCAGGACGCAGCGCCCCGCACCGCTAGGCCCGACAGCAGGAAGCTAAGTGCCGGGAGTCTCGGCTCCAGCGGGGAAGCAGCGGGACTCCCTCCGCTCCGCAGGGCACCGCGCTGGGGCCAGCGGGGACCCCCGCGGAGTCTGCGCGCCGAAGCGGCTGGACCAGCGGCGCGAGGAGGTGGGCGTGGCCGGCGGCGCGTGGGCGTGGCCGGCGGCCGCCCCGCCCTCTCCTCGGGGATGCCGGGATGTTTACACTCCTGACAGCGCCGTCCGCGAGAGGAGGAGCGGGAGCCTGGGGAGGATGGGCCGCCGCTAGCCTCACACTCGGGACGCGCCTCGCCGTGCGCAGGGTGGGAGGCCGCGCCTGCACCGTCCGCGGGGGCGGCGCGGCGCGAGGTGGCGATCGGCTCCGGGCCTCGCAGCCACAGCCCCCGGCCCAGCGGGCCTCTCCGCGGCGCCGCCTGCACCGGCCGCCCCGCGGGCAGAACTGACAACTCCCAACTTCCTGGTGAGTCGCTGCGGGGTCGCGGGCGCCGGGCCGGGCGGGGCTCCGGCGGGGACCCGGGTGGGAGGGTGAGGCGGGAGGGTGAGTCGGGGCCGCGCGGGCGGCCTCCGGGTCCCGCGGCCTGGGCGGTGGGGCGGGGCGCGCCGCGCTGGAACCCGACGCTCCGGTCCCGGTCGTGGGCAGCGGCAGGCACTTCACGCCGGGCACAGGCTCTGGCGGCGGTGGCCGCGGTTACTAAGAAGATCCGCGGACACGGTGGTGGCGGCAACAGGTCTTTGGTTTCAGGACCCGAGGAACTTGGGTGAGGTCCCGCCTCCCGCCGCCCGGCGGGCGCTCATTGGCGGCGCGGGTTATTTATTGCTCGCCGATTGGTTAGGCCCAGCTGTCAGAATTCGGCCGCAGCCAGACTTGGAAGAGGAAAAAGTTCAGCGGGAGAGCGAGTGGGTGGGCGGTGGGAAAGGCTCCAGGGGCTGGAGAAGGACCGGGAGGATGACCGGCCTGCTGGAGAGGGAGCGTTAGTGGGGCCCGGACAGGATCGGGAAGCGTCCGAGAGACGGATTGCAAGGCAGCAGCGAGCATCGGTGCTGATGGAGGGTGGCAGTGGGAAAGGAAGACGCTGAACATCGAGGCCGAAGCCAGAGAGACGAAGGGTAGCCCAGAGGGGACGGGAGAACTTTGGGGACCACGGTGCCCCAGGACAGTGTCAGGGAGCGAGGACTGAAGGACTCCGGCTGCCGCCTTCCTGCGCACCGTGGGCCCGGGGACGTGCTGGGTCCAGCAGGTGAGCCGTGTTCTCGCAGAGCGGGAGGGGTCAACCCTAAACATGCACTTATTGTTACAGTAAGATGTGCTCCCCGTCCCGGGGACGGAACTGAAAGTCAGAGATGTAGTAACAGAAACGACATGACTTTAGTCCTCCCCTGAGACTGGTGATCTTAAGGATGCGGCTGAAAACAGTCAGGCGCCCCTGGTTTGTAAAACGTTGCGTGCCTGTCATGATGAGAACCAGGGTTTCTAAGTCCCTCCTGCAGGGAATTTTGAGTTTCCAGAAGTGTGCGCACGCGCCCCGCAGGCGACAGCAGTGTGTCTTGTCAGGTTGCCTTACAGAATAAAGCACCGACTGTGTGTGTGTGTGTGTGTGTGTGTGTGTGTGTGTGTGTGCGCGCGCGCGCGTGCGCGTGCGGTAAATCCGTTCAGAACAGGAGCTTGAAGAGTGGCCAAGCACATACTTCCACTCCGAAAGTTTTATGGTACTTTTGGGGCCACCGGACAAACACTGAAAACGGTGAATCATTGATGCCATTAACCCTGTAGCTGAATGGACGCTCAGTATTTTGGGCCGTGACACTTGGTGAAGGCCAGTGCACGTAAGACGGTTAACGTAAAAGTTAAACAGCGTTTTCGTTTTCCGAGAAAGGAGTCTTCTGCAGCCCTCGGGGAGATCCAGTCCACAGCTGGCTTCACTCCTAAGACCGCAGCATCCTCTGTTTGGAACGGGAGCTTGCAGGGTGGGGGAGAAGAGATGGAGCCTAAAAGGTTTGCTTCTGGGAGGAGTCAAAGGGACAGAAACTGTATGTGGGAGAAGGGCTGGTGAAATAGGGCGAATGACGCCCCTGTGGAGGCAGGCTGTTTTCTCGCCGGCTGGGGAAGTGGGGGGACCCCGTGAGGTGCTGGCCTGACATTCCGCTCCAACGTGGGGGGCCCCGCCTCTCGCATCACTGACAGGCTCCACAGCCAATGAGCGGCGAGGACAGCGCGGTTCCCGCTCGGGGGGCGGTACTTCCGAGCCCAGCCGGGAGGGAGAGAGAGTTCCTGCTGGAGGGATGTCTGCGGGCTGTGGGATGCGGGGCCGAGGCACGCGGGGCCGAGGGAAGGCCTCATGAAATAAATGCGGGAAAGTAAGGGCGAGGAGGCTCCAGTTTCCTCTCACCCCTCGCGCACGTCTCGTTTCCTAGTTAAGCTGCACCTTCAACTTACCACTGCAACTGAAACTTTATAGTCGACGAGAAACGAAGCTGGTCAGCAAACTAAATATCGGCCCTGTAACTGATCAGGATTTTACTCTGAAATCATCTGAAAACGAAAACCAAGAAATGTCAGAACCTAAATTGTTAAGCGTGTTCACAGTGACTTGGGAATCTTTCTGCCGTTAAAAATCTTTATCAGCTTATAAAATAAAGACGGTAACTTGAGTGCAGACAGGTTCATTTTATAATCAGAATTCAGGTGTATTTATTTTGGTCATACCTGTGGCACCCTCCATGCCCTTTCCCGCTTACACATTTTGCTGGTGGGACAATCCCAAGAGCTTTTCCCAGGCCCAATAAAACAGTACTTACTCCAAGAATGAGGGGAGCACGTCTGGTATGACCGCTACATACCAGTGGAGGAGGGGAGAGGAGGCCAGTCTGATGAGCATACCCGAATAGTGAAAATGAGTAAATGTTTCAGATGACCAGAAATGCAGTTATAGTTTGCACATGCGTATTGAACCTACTCCTCTCCCTTCATCTTCTGGTGGTTGCAGTTGACAGCCTGGGCATCTGATTTACTGCAAACATTTCAGTATTCTTTTCAGCTCCTGTGCATTTACAGAAATGTAGATTTCATTTTTCAATAAAAGCATGTAGCATTACAGACTTCTACAGTGTATCTAGAACCAAACACTGTTTTCCTAGGAACCAGATCTCATGTTTTAAAATGTATCTCTATAGTATTACTAATGTAGCCACCATTCAATGCCTCTGGGTGGAGAGAATAGTGATTATCTAATGCAGTTTTGGAACAGAAGCTGCTTAATTAGATAATAAGTTCAAAATTCCTTTCAGGTTTTGTTTACTTTGATTTTTTTAAAAATAGGTTTTGGTATTTTAAAAATGTACAGTGTAGCTGCAGCGGCACAAAGCAGTGCTCTGTCCACATTCCTGGTTTCATTAAAATGAAAATATTTGTCCTTTCAAGTGTTTGCTCAAGAGTTAACGTGGGTAGGTATTTTAGTACATTATATACAAAACATGGAGGCAAACTTAAATACTTTAGGGTGTTTCGGAAATGACATACATGATAAGTTTGCTCTGAATTACTTTCTCAGCAATTACTTTATCGGCATTTCTATAAATATATAGGAAGATGTTTTAAGAAACATTTCCTTATGCTTTTGAATGTTTCAATTTAATTCCTTCTCCCTCATTTTTATAGGGCATATGGATGAATAACATTATATAATTGTAATCAAATATATTTATTTGCAGGATATAATGGCAGTTGAGACTCTTTAAACTTATACATAAAACTAAAGTAGAACCATTCACTCAGGGTTATAAAACTTCTGATCTGCTGATTCCTTTTTTGGTGATTAATAGTTTGATTATCCCTATGTGTTATGTATCTTGATCAAATATTTAGTCGTTCTAGTGGAAACACTTAGAAAATGTATTTCATGGTTTTTAGTGAGCAGTGGGAACAAGGACAGATGGTGATAAAGCATTCCTTGATTTTTTTTTTTTTAGCAAGATAACTTCTTTTTTTAACCTTTGTCAAAAAAAACAGCTCTTTCACACTATACATATTTTTTTGTAATGAGCATATACAATGAGCTATTTAGTAATAACTATATAAAGAGTTAATCAGAACAGTGTATAAATGAATGAAACTTATTTAATTGGTCTATAAAAATTTAGAAATATGTTTTCTGTTACTTAATGGAAATAGATCTTGCTGTTGGTCTTCAGTTGATAATCAGGACAAGTTGGTAGGTAAGGGCAACTTTTTCATTCTGGGTTGTTTTGTATAGAAAAGGGGTTTGCACACTTCTCTGTAAAGGGCCACATAGTACCCTAAATACTTCTGGCCTTGTGAGCCACGTGGTCTCTGTCACAGCTGCTGCCACTGTAGCCATTCACACTCTCCAAACAGGTGGGTGTGGCTGTGTTCCACTAAAACTTTATTTATACAGACCGGCTGGAGGCCCACCCGCGCTCTAGAAGATAATACCAAAGATCTAAATATGATCCTAGGCCAATGCAATTTGGGGTAATGAGGATTTTCCACAGCAGTGTTTTGTAGCCTGTTTTGGTCCTTAGACCCTGTGACAATCTCTTGATCTTCCCTGATCCCCTCAGACTAATTCCTGGTTATTCATTCCCAAATTTTGTGTTTTGTCTCAGACTTCATAAATATATGAACCTCTTAGATTTTGAGGGTTTCCCACCCATTTTTTGCCTCTGGGGGGATCCCACACCCAGTCCTCTCTCCAGCTTCCTTCTCACTAAACCAACATGGAGTCTGATGTCAGACATTTATCTTTGCTTGATTGACTGATGATAACACTTTAATAGGAATGCGTTTTGGTGTGTTTCTTTAGTAGTTTTCATTTTAAGCCTCCTGCAGTGATTGCATTTGTTAGGTTTAGAAGGAATTTCTGGAATGAGCAAGAGGGTGGGCAGATTTTTTTCTTTTTAACCATCCGTCGGGCACAACTCATCTCACAGATTCGCTGCACACAGAGCTGCCGCTATGAAATACGTCTTTACTGTACTAAGTCACAAACACGACTGGCGATAGGTTATGGTAGAGGGGGAAGATACGGAAGCGATGAGTCACGATACTTAACTGTTAGATAGTTGAAAATTTGTGTGCAATGAATCTGTGAGCTCAGTTGTGCCTGACGGAGGGTTAAGAAAAATGGACTTAGTCTTTTATAAAAGACCTTTTTCCAGTTAAAAAACAGTACTACAAAGGGCCGTGTTTATGGGGCTGTGCACACACAGGGCACACAGCATCCTCTTCAGCTGCCACTGCAGCCCCAATATTATCATTTTCTGTGTTTTCCATGATGTGGGAAGGCTGAGCCCCAGGTTTGCTTCCTATTTTGTGATGGCCCTTGAGTTCATTTGTTCACACCGTAGCTGTCTCAGCTCAGGTAAGATTGCTTCGAGGAGTGCATGAAAGTGTCTTTGTAAATGTGTGGCAGTAGGCTCGGCTCGGCAAGTGTGAATTTCAGTTCACCTATTTCTGTCCTCAGGACCTTTAGCTGTGGGAACACATTCCCGTTTCTCCATGACTGGCCAGGCTTGGTCTGAACAGGCTCCTGCCTAGGTCTACTGCCACCTGAGTTCTCTGCCTTCCCTTTGCTTGAGATTTCCATATGCAAATGGACTGGTTTCCACAGCTTGAGTTAGTGGTTTTCCTTTTTGGGGGTGGGGCAGGGAGAGGCAGTGATCCTTAGTTCCTCAGGTAGGGAAAACCCACAGAGGCTTAGGGGGCGATATTTTGGACAGGAAAAAATGGGAGTTGCAAAAAGATCCTTAAATATTGATTCTAAAATGGCAAAATTAAAAATATTCTTTCTAGTATTCTGGCATTTTATTATTAAAATCTTTTTCTTATATGCTCATATTTATCTGGCAAATTGCTCTAATTTTTGTTACAGTTGTAACCATAACAAAGCCACATATCCTTTGTTATATTTGGGAAAATTTAATAGATATGTTTATGAAAAATTATTATACTTGTAAAATGTAAGGAATTGCAAGTCTTCCATTGCCTTTTATATCTAACTGCTGGAACCTCTAGTAAAATAATGTGATATGTTTGCATACTGCCATAAAGACACCCAGAGCTGTGCAATAGATAATGTACGTTAGGCAAATAGTATGTCTTTATTCCAAACAGTCTATTTCTAGGCATAGCTTGTTATTCAACAAATACAGGTAAATTGAAAGATGTACAAGAAGAATGCATACTGATAAAATGATTTTACGGAAACAAATTCATATTGTA